ACAAAACGAAATGAAATAGATAAATGAATCAATTTTACATTCAGGACTAAGAATAAAATAATGATTTCTGTCGTAATGGATTAAAGAAAAAGAAACATGTAAAATATATTAACATTTTGAACAGGTTTTAAACCAGTTAAATTGTAATTTTACTTAAAATTTGTAAACCCGCCTAAGAAAAGTTTGGTTTTTATATGTATCTTTTTTCAAAACAAAAATAAATGTTTAACTAACAAATTGAAAATGGGAGAAATCGAAAAAATAAAGCATATAAGCATAGTATTACTTTAAAAATACATGTATAAACTATTTATTGTCGCATTAACAATGGAAATCAGCTGCTTTTGTTAAGGATTATTTTATGATTATATCTCATCAATTGAAATAATCTGCTAAAAACAACTTTAATCTAAACACTTTGCAGTTTTGTTACTGGGTCGGGTGGGGGCTGTGTCATTGAACGCCGCCTTTCCTTGATGATCTTGTTTATCATATTTTGTTACGAATAGTGCACAATTACAACACGATGCTATAAATCGCTTGACACATCCTACACTATGAAGCTGCTAAAATTAAAGACAATGGGACAATCAGCTTTTCATTCTTGTCAAGCAAATGATTTCAGTGAAATGAATTTGAATTAAGAGAAAAAGTGTCTGCAGTTACAAAATTCTTCTGAAGACATTTTTTTGAGACAGCAAAACACAAAATATCTGACTGAATTTTATTCTGCTAAACATTTAAGGCAAGGTACAGTCTTCTGTATTATTTAAGTACCAGTTTTTTATACAATGTTTGTCATCAAAAGATTGACACTATGATAATGGTGATTGACCAATAATTGAGAATAACGATAAATATAGTGACAGCGGAGAAAGAAATCAACACAATGTAACTTTAACACCAATATAATTAGGCAAAATTTCGCGTGAAATACCTACCTAAAATTAAATATTTTTGTAATAACAGGCGCAAGTGATGTGTGCTTGTAAAATCTATTTCATTTAAAATAATATCAATATCTCACAAAATTGCAATTATCATAGCGTACTTACGTCAGGAAAAGGACGTGATAACCTTTTTTAAATGAGGCAACATACAAGGGCTGTAACTCGCTCAAAATAGAGAACAGTAGCCCCCGATATTTGTTTTACTTAAAATGTTTCTGTTGTTACATATTCTGTCTTTTCCAAACTCGGTTATTGACTAGGTTGTCTCCCTTGTGGGTAAGTGTAGTTTACTTCCGGTTTAAGTTTTTACAACGGTAAAATTAAAAGTGCTGTCATATATTGTGTTAAAAACATACAATGAGTTTGTCATCGTGTTTTACTTCCAAGGAAACAACATTGGAAGATATACTTAACCTGAAAAAGGATGAAATTGTTTCTTATTTACGTAGCCATCAACAAAAAATCAGTGGAAACAAACATGACATAGCCGTGCGTGCGCATAACTTTCATATGTCGACTTTTTCAAACAGAGATTGCAACACAAATTTTGATGAAAATGTGCATTGTGTCTTGTCAGACACTGGAAATATTCCAATTTTTGAAGATCTCAAGTGTGGTTGGTCAAGTGATAGTGCATTATTCCCAAAAGTAACTATTGTTGACATTGAAAATTATCTCATTAACAGCAGTCACAGGTCTTCAGATGCATTAAAAATGGAATGTTACAGGCAATATATTCGGGGCTTGAATTTCTACAAGGAAAAGTACATTCATAAAGTCATGATAAACAACATTTCTGAGACATGTAGACATTGCTATATTAAATCTAAATGTTTGCCATCAATGAAACAAGGTGTATATTTACAATGGATTTTGACTACTAAGGACACTCCATTCAACATTCTACAGGCCAACTGCTCTTGTCCAGCAGGGTATGTCTCATTTTTCTTATAGTTACCACTGTTTCCTGTATTTTCTGAAAAAACAGGGGGGGGCATTAATTGCCAATTGACTCTTTTGACTAAAAAAAAAAAAACACCGACCCTATTGAAGAACTGAAATATGAAATGAGCCGTGTCACGACAAAACCAACATAGTGCGTTTGCGACTAGCATGGATCCAGACCAGTCTGCGCATCTGCGCAGTCTGATCAGGGTCCATGCTGTTCGCTTACCAACTCTATTACAAGTGAAGGAAATGACAGCGAACAGCATGGACCCTGATCAGCCCAGAGGCGCATCTTTATCCATGCTGGTCGCAAACGCACTATGTTGGTTTTGTTGTGACGCGGCTCAAATATATATGATAAAAATTACAATATACATGTATATTATATATAATTGAAAATTATTATGCAATGATTAAATTTTAAGCCAGGTTTTTTATCCAGTTACTTTGGGAAAAGGACCCTGGTAAGAATTGGGAAAAACAAGCTATTTCACTGAAATTGGGAATTTTTCATTTCAAATGAAATATATACTAGATAAAGCTATTTGTCATGTAAATATTCAATAATATGTGATTCCTTGAAAACAAACTACTTATTTATTCATTTCAGTATTTTAGATATATAGTTTCCTTGGATACCTAGTTACTAAATTCAGCAACTCACTTCATGGGGAGTCGGCACAGTGTCTGGATAGCATATAAAATGCTTATTTGAACCTGTGAACACACTAAAAAAAAATTCACCATCAAATATTATATATATATATTTGATGGTGATTTTTTTTGTGTGTGTTCACAGGTTCAAATAAGCTTTTATATGCTACCCAGACGCTGTGCCGGCTCCCTTTGACTCACATACTTTCAACAATTTTTTATTTTAGAGTAGTGTTTTATAATATTCATATTAACCGTAGCACTATGTCCCCTGAATAGCCCAGTTTCCACAAAATATAATCTCTAAACCGCGGTTCAATTGGGATTTCTTTTGGCAATTTGGAAAAAACTATGCTTAATTGCATTGGGAATGAGTCCTACTGTACAGAAAGGCTGAAAAACCCTGTTAGCACATAATAAATAACGTGGAATTAATAAAATAAGTTATTCAATAGTTTTACACTTCCACTATATTTTTAGATTACTATATCTGTTTTACTTAATAAATTGATTTCAAATAATGTATACATTTCAGACTGGGAGAAGGATGTAGTCACATTGCCGGACTTCTGTTTCCCTTAGAGGCAAATCATACTGCTAGTAGTGAGGATCCTGATTCAGAAGTTGCATGTACATCCAAACCATGTGTGTGGAATCAACCGAGCAAACGTAAACATAGTCCGAAAAAAATTGAAAACATTACATTCAAAAGAATTAAATTACGAGATGAGGAAAAATCCACTTCCAGTAAAACCACAAATTGTATTGCCCGATGAGCACGACTTAGGTAAATTATGGGATAAGTCATGCTCCAGGTTAGGTAACCATACAAATGCTGCCATATTTAGTTTATTGCCATCTATTGACAATACCATACCAACCGAGAGTGACTTAAATGTATCTATAGAAGAGACAGTTGAAACATCACTATTCATATCTCATCAAAGTGACAAATACATAAACATTATGCAAACTGTAAAAGAAAGAAATATGTCACAGGAAGAAGCTTTATCTTTTCTAGAAGATTGTGATCAGGATGTCATATATGAAATTGAAGAACGAACAAGAGGACAGAACGACAATAATTTATGGTTGACATCAAGGAAGGCTCGAATAACAGCATCTGTATTTCATGACATCAGTACACGAAAGTCCAATACACCACCTGAAAAACTGGTTGAAAGAATTCTTGGAAACTCTGGTAACAATAAATATAATGAATTTGTGCCATCTTTAAAATGGGGAAAGAAAATGGAAAATGTTGCCAAGAAGCATTACATTGCAATAAATAAACTTAAATTTAATAGAAAAATTCAAATCCAAGAAAAAGGATTGATACTTCATAAGGATTATTCATATTGAGGAGCAAGTCCTGATGGTATTGTTGTTCACAACAGTACAAGGCATCTTATTGAGGTTAAATGCCATTACAAGTAGAGGACAAAATCTGTAACTGAAGCCTGTAGAGATTCTGACTTCTTTTGTTTTGTTGATGAAAATAATGACATTCAATTAAAACATTCAAGCAGATACTATGCCCAAATACAAGGTCAAATGGGAATCTGCTGTGTAAAATCTTGTGACTTGGTTGTTTATACAACAAAACAAACAAAAATCATTCCTGTGTCCTTTGATGGAGTGTTTTGGGAGAATCTTCTTAAGAAATTAATTGCATTTTATAAACAGTTTGTACTCCATAAACTTTCATATTAAAGGCATGTTTATGACAGATAGACTAAGATGATATTGGGAATCAGTGTATGGGTTTCAAATTTGTAGAATAAAAACATCAAATTTAAACATGAATTCTTATTTCAGTATTGCATACTTAATAAGGAATTTTAATGACAATGTTAAATAGAAGTTGGCAGTTAACTGGTTGAAATTATATAAATATGTATTAAACACTGTTAAAAATGTTTGTGTTGTACAATTATATATAACACAAACATATTCAAGATAATTATGACATTGTTTAATGATAAATGATCTTAAGTTTCGCTAACATATTTAAACACTAAAGTAATATATATTTGGCAATATGTTTACAGCAAACTTGAGCCGCATCATGACAAAACCAACATAGTGCGTTTGGGACCAGCATGGATCCAGACCAGCCTGTGCATCCGTGCAGTCTGATCAGGATCCATCCTGTTCGCTTACCAACTCTATTACAAGTAGAGAAACTGATAGCGAACAGCATGGATCCTGATCAGACTGCGCGGATGCGCAGGCTGGTCTGGATTCATGCTGGTCGCAAACCCATTATGTTGGTTTTGTCGTGACACGGCTCATTTGTTTTGTGTGTCTCTTAACAAGTCTCAAAAATAAAATGCATTGTTTATTTTTACACATGGGCAATTTAATACTCTGTATCATAATTTATCATGTTAATGTTAAAGAACATTCAGTATTAAATGAAATGCATTGAAAAGTCTAACAAAGACATATTGGAAGAATTTTTTATTTCTTCATATTGAAATTCAATGGCATTTTGAGTAAATGGCAACAGATTGTGAAAACAAAAGTGTACATTTGCACTGTTATCAAAGCATGACAAAATATAATAAGGACATATTGTTAAAAACAATTTCTAATATTGATATACATTTCATGTAAAAACTTAAACCGGAAGTAAACTACACCTACCCACAAGGGAGACAACCTAGTCAATTACCGAGTTTGGAAAAGACGGAATACATTTTCACAAAGTTGTACAACATTTTCATATTATTTTTCCGGACTTTTAGTCATTTGATGATATTATTAAATATAATGTGTAACAATTGTTTTTATATATTTGTAGAAAATCAGTATTACTTGAATCTTTAACATGTAAAATGTCATGTACATGCACTAAGTACATTATTCAAAAAATTATGCTGAATGTAACCACAAGTACACTCTGTAGTGATAAATAAATTAAATTAAAACAGTTCTTTGTAGTTTTTCAATTCCTTACAACATTTGAACAAGAAAAAATTTTATGATGAAACAAATGAGTTATAAACTTTGTATGTAGAAAGGCTCATAGAATATTTTTCAGTGAATGAAATTTAAATTTAAGATAAGAAAAAGTGGTCGTATTGCTTACATTTATTCCTCAAAAAGGTACAATTTGTTAAGAAATCTTACTGCTCTAGAAAAAAAGATGAGACAAAAATTATGATGCAGACAAAAATCTATAAAAGCTGAGATCATTTTGAAAATCAAAGTTAAATATGTTTTCAAGAAAGTACATGTATTACTCTCACTCACAACTCATTTTACTTATGGTCAATGACATTACATATAGTTTATAACTTAAAACATTTTTTTTTTGCAATAATCTCATAAGTCACCTAGTAGTGAGCTTGTTCACAATAAAAAATGGACATTAAATTTGGATCCCATTAAAGTAGAAATTTCCATAAAATATAAAAGTCAGAATAACAGTTATACATGTAGTGTTGTCTACATCTCCTCAAAAAAACTCAATAATATCCATGTATCAATAAAGTTAGTTTCAAGTTTATATCTCTTACTCTGCAGGCATACTCCAGACAAAATAATGTACATGTATGAATAAAATATGTATAAGAGCTATGGAATTTTACATCTGAAGAGTTTTTTACCTACATACTGCAAAAAGTATTCTTGCATATGAGACTGGCGTTTCAATTAGTTTTAAAATGTGAATTTTAAACATATGACTGCATGGAAAAATATTGACAGGATAAATAGAATGGTAGTAAGAGTGATCACTTTGTTTCCAGATTTCACAGATGAAGACAATTTATCTGGCTCAGCTTCGGTTGTTATCTGGTTTGCCTTCTGCTCACCAGATAAATTCCTACGCCTTGCCTCAAACTTGCTCCATCCACAGCACTAACCTATTATTCTCTATATTATTGCAGACAAAGCTGCAACTATAAGTTTGCCATTCAGGGATCACATTAAAGCAATTTAATTTACTTCACTAATGGTGGCATTAAATTAGTTAAAGCGCTGCAAACAAAAATGATTTCATTTGAGACCTTGTTGATAGCAAGTGGCAACACGCCCTGAAGAATTCTAAAATTTTTAATTTGCTCCATCCTCCTCTCAACATGAATTATTGCAGATGCAATGCGCCTTGTCAAATCAACCTCTTCCTTTGAAAATTGAGATTTTGTTTTAAAGGGTGGACAATACAACTTGACACAAGTTTTTTAAGATCTGATTTTAAATGAATGAACCCTTTATCTACCATTACAGCATCTCCCTTCTCCAACATCTGTAGCAAACTGCTTTCTCTTGTGATCTGTACATCAGAGGCAGAGCCTCCCCAAAGTTTAGACACAAAGACAGTAGCTCCAGTCATGCTGACTCCAACTAACACTTTGAATGTATTATGAGATTTATAATTTGAATAAGTAACTGATTTATTTTCCAATGAAGATGGTGTTTGAATAAAAATTTCAGTACAATCAAGAATTATCCTAGTGTCTCTAAAGTGTGTAAAACAAGATGGAATTGATTTCTGCAATACTTCTAATTTGGGCAAATACACTAATGATTGAAGATACTTGTACATAAAAACTATCCAAGAATTGAATATTTTTGAAACAGAACTACCAGATATTTTAAATCTATATTCTAGGTCTTTCACAAGTAAGCCAAGTCTAAGTCTCATCATCACTAAAAGAAATTCATCAACAGACCTCAACTTCCGTTTTTTTCCAGTGTCATTTTTAAAGGTGTTTGGTTTTGCTGAACATAACTTATCTGCACCAAATTCAATGAGGGTTAAAAATAGAGAGTTAAAAATGAGAAATGATGGTAAACCCGTGTAAAACATTATTTTTTCATCACTGTCTTGTATATCTTCAATTGTAATATCTGGTCTTTTTGTGTGTGTTGATACATCATTTTTTTCTTGACAGGCTTGCACTAATTTAGAGTGAGACACAACATCCACATTCTCGTCACTTGTGCAGATTCCACTTGCATAGCTGGGGGAAAAATCAGTAAATAATAAGATAGAATTTAGGTAAAAAAACACTCTTCAGTGTTTTGTTTAATATACAAAACAATATTATAAAGACAAACTATGAGCAAATAAATATATTGAAAGCTGCTAAATTGATAAAAATCCATGTTAAGACCTTTTATGTATTAAACCATAGTTTAATGTTTTAAACTTGATGGCCAGGCACTAATTAGCTCTTTTGTTATGAAAAATTAAAATTGTTCTTTAACCACATTTAGTTAGTTCAAATGAAATGTTATTGAATATTTAAAATGTACATTTTATTCTTCTCAGAAAGTTTAAAGCTACATGCCCCCAAATGAGTGAAAAATATTTTGAAAAATCAAATTTAAGAAAAATATGTTCAAAATATAAGGAACGTATCTCTTTTGTCAAAACATAATACTAAGTTTGTAGAAGCCATTGTTTACCTTAAAGTTTTATTAATATCACAAAAGTTCTACAGAGTGACTAACGCAGTAGAATCTAAATTAACGTAATTTGACACTTTAAAGGCAATTTCTCAGGAAAGAAAGCATTATTATCTGGCCTATATCATTTATTTCTATTATTGATAATATTTCTAATGATTTAAAATGTTTTGTTTTTTTAAATTTTCATGAAATTTGATATCAATCTGGAGCCATGCTGCTTTAAAAAGAGAGATAATGTGCTGTTAGAATATCAGTGTTAACTACAGAACACTTTGTCTTACAAATTGTTAAAATTGGTCTTCGCCTTAGTGACAAATTCTTCTTTTAACTTCTTACTTAAATTATTCGTTCACAAGGGTGTTCTGAGACTCAGATAATAGTATGCTTAAGCAATTAAGGTTAGAAATAACTCAGACTTTCCTCTAAAATCCTATTCGATAAATTACAATTATGTCAACTTAAAACAAAAAAAATCCTAAATAAATTTCTTGCTGAAAATGCAATTAACAAAAAATGTTATAGAATAAGTCTTAGAATAGGCTGCCTGGCGCTTATTTCTTTCTTTTAATTTAATTTGTAAAGTTTGGTATACTTTAGTACACAAACATAACACTGTAATTTAAGATATATGCTTGAACAATTCAATTTTAGTCAACTAGCAGTGGTATATACTTTTATGTATAATAATCTTTGTCTCTATATTCATTTTTTCATATAATTCTGTAAAGAAATTGCAAAAAATTGTTACTCAACCATAAATAGTAAAAATTAGCAAATAGGAGAAAATGACAACTGTGCAGTTTTTTATATGAATATAATCACACGATTTAAATACTTCTAGTTTCTACAAATAAACGCTGTATTTTCAAAGTAGGTATTTGTAAATTGTGGAACAAGAATCGAAAAGCAGAAAGATTATTTTTGCAAAAGGTGTAGATTCCAACGAAATAATCTTGAATAAAAACATTACTAAAAAGAAACAAATGGAGTAATTCAGTCACTTATATTTATTATAATTATACATTTTATATTTCTATACAACTAAGTTAAAATTGCTTTGTGCATGTTTTGCAAATTTGAACTTTGTGTATTTGAAACATCTTTTAAATGCTTGCTTATGTCATGAATATTTAAATGGAAATATTTCAGTATATCCATACTAGTTTAAAAAAACGTACAAAAAATTATTTCATTAATTGTAAAAGAAAAAGATATAAGCGTTACTACCAGATCTGTCAGCTTGGCTTATTAGGAAGAGAATCGGATTAGTAATCCAGGGGTCGAAAGTTCGATCCTCGGACGAAGCTTTATATCTCCGTGACAACTGATCTCAGACATCGAGCCTTTCTTTACCTTTTGTTCTGACTTTCGAGGAACACTTTTGTTTGCTTCATTTTTTCAATGCTATAGCTTGCGATAAAATGTTTTATTAACTTCTTCTGTTTGTCTACCACGTTTGGTCTTTAAAGATGTAATGGATTTGATTCATTTTGTCACTAGGTCAATGTTTTTTTCACATAGCATCTTAATAACGCCCACATCAATTTGTCCATAAAACTTACATAATCAGTTAACATTATTGACGAACGCATATTATTTAATATCCATATACATTATAAATATCCTAAAACAGAATTGTTGACGTATGCTTTATTTTTTTAAGTTGTAGAAGTTGTGATAGTTTTCAGTATTTCTTAGATATGCTTTGGGATTTAAAGATAAAAATTTGATAACGTAAATCCGACACTTCATTGATTCTACGCAAGAACTACTTATTATAGAAAACCAAAATAGCCTATGAAGAAGAAGCTCATTATTACAAAGGAATATGAAGTGTCTCAAAGGGAGGTGAACTTATTGAAGCATTATTAATAAGGTTTTCTTTACAAGTAAAGAGTTAAAATATAGCTTAATGAAAATAGAGCATGGGATTTAGTTTCTTTATCATCAAAACCTCACATTATTCACGTGCACAAATGTATTTTCAACATAACATAAGTATACCCCCGCAAACAAATTTTTAGTTAAAACAATACTTTATTCATAATCCATACATTAACATAATAAAGTACATAAAATAAAATTAATGGATTGAGTCGGAAGCTTGTAAATTTGTTTTGAAAAGTCTCTCCGTAAAAAAAAATTAAGGAGGTATACTGACGTCATACATTAGTAAGTAAATACAAAACTATTCATGTATGAACAAGCGTAGAGCAAGTACTATTAAGTATATAGGAGATAATTCACTATGTAAAATTTCAATCGAATACTTCAGTAATTTTCCAGGTAACATTCATTCTTAAATTTTATAGATATTAAATGATAGAATAAAGATGTACAAGGGAAGGCAACGTTCACAATTAATACTCCTACAATATTCATTAGTAACGGAAACCAAATAATGCTTAGTGCAGTGTGATTAGAAACTACAGAATGGAAGAGTTACGGCGCATGGACGCTGTTCATCTGTTCATAGAGTTTGTATTTTTCTGACATTTTAATCATTTACCTTCAATACATTTCAAGTCAACTTCTAGAAAAGAATGCAAAAGACGGACTGGCATATTGACAACACCAATATTTATGGTTAAGACGTTTTTTCTTTGATTTTCTCTAACATTTTTCCACATAAACTATGCAGAAATGTTGCTATCTAAACCGTTGGATTTTCTGGTTTCCTTTTTCAACTTTGATTATACGGATTTTTTTTTCTTCTATTTAATAGAAATAAGTACAAATTCATTTAATGAAAAGCTAAACCAGATAACACATAAAAATATCTAAAATGCGAAAACAATATTTTGAAAACAAAAACATATTCAAACACGTTGTGGCTTTTGATTACTTTACTTTAATTGAATTAAATAGCTTTATAATTTTGATTTCAGATTGATATATAAAATAATGACACCAATAATTAAAATGAATCAGCTAAACGCAGAAGACATTTAAAGAAAACATGGTGTTTGAATATGATATCTAGTGTATAAAGGCACAAGATAAGCCGCGTCTTAATTGGTTATTTTCCGATCAGACAGACTATTGCGTTCATATAATGGGAAAAACGATACCAAAATATTCCATCATGAATATGAACACATTGTAAATCTCTAAGATGTTAATACCTAGTAAGTTGTATGAGCAAATATACGATGTGGTTATATCAAGTATCACTCCCACTATACATGCTATAGCATATTTTAGAAAACATCAAAAGCAATATCAATTGGAACAATATATGAAGCAATACACAAGCAACGTGATTGCTTTTCAAAAGACAATTATGTCTTTTCTCTTTTTACAATTCTCATAGGCATCACAACTGGTAAACCTTTAACGAATAATTTAATTGGAATGATATACCAAAATAAGCAATTTAGCAAGGCTTTATCGATGTATTTGTCAAAAAACATGCTCAACTTAAACAACTTTAATTATATAAAGTTAATTTAAGAAAGTTTGTTGAATCTGCGATCACATTATTGTCAGATGTTACGTGTACATTCAACACTTGCAGTTATGATAAAATATATCCCATAGAAAGACAGAATAACGGAATCACGAAAGAATAATCAAAACAGCAAAACTTAAATCGTTGCAGGAACGGCGATGATAATTGAAAGCTACTACATGTACTATCCACACCACAAGTAAATGAAATAAAGAATGTTTTGTAAATATCTGGCCCCATTTTGCACAGCTATAATACTAATATGAATTGTCTTTTAATGCTTAACTATTACCACGTACTTACTTTTTTAGGATTGATAATCTTATGTAAACAATTATAAAGTTTGGAGCAGTATCGTCAGTGTCAATTTGCCGTTAAACCTAAAGAAACAAAAAACAACTGAATTTATTTTTATATTCATATTTTATATTCAGCATATGTTCTCTTTCCAATAACAGACATCAATTTAGCTTTAAAAATAATTCTTGCTATGGAAAAATACTTATAAAAATCTTACAAATGTAAGGTCCTAGGGACTAGTACAAGGAAGAAAAACACAAAACCGTAAGTACCGTGCATATTATATCGGCACAAACTGTTACAAAATATTATAAAAAATAATATTACAGCAAGATTACAATTTGATAAATTAGGACACTGCATCATCCACAACGCAGATTATCGGCGTCACATGTCGCAAATTAAACGTCAATGGTGCTGTTGAATTGATGACACGAATCACTTTCCTTTTCTCTGTCAGCGGTTTTAACAACACTCAACTAGCGCACACTTTATTGTTTGTCCGTGAGTATCCAGTTAAAATTATTTACACAATTTTCAGAAATGGTAACATTTTAACACACTACTAAACCATCTTGAGGTCGTCTTCACAAAGGCATGGTCAAGTATGTCTTTAATACTTTCCTTTTTTGCCAGGAAAACACTAAATTTGGCGATGTTGTTAACATTTCGTTTCCCTGCTGTATGAATGTGTTGGTAAACGTCAAATTTACATGGATAGATCTACAATGGGCGATAAAATATGTATCATTTGGATATACTTCTATTATAGTCTGGATAAAGAGCTAGGTTCACTAACCATGGATTTTTGCCCAAGATTTTGGCAAAAAATAATTTGATGAAAAGTTCTT